CTGAAGAAGCCAACGCTGTCCTGTAGACTGTGGCCAAATGAATCTTCTTCCTAAAGCTACAACAATCTAGAAGAGCAGTGATGGGCACAGGTTCTATAGCCAGGGTGCCTGTGTCCTCAGACATGTTATTGAATCTCTGCACCCACCCCGTTTCCTTGACTATAAATGGGGATAACAACTGCCTCTCTCACAGGATTGTGGTGAGAACGAAAATTCCTAAACTTGCTAAGAATAAATTACTATCATTCTGCCCCCAAAACTTTCAATGGCCTGCCACTGCCTAATAACATAGCAACCAAAGATTGACAGTCTATCAAATAAGAAGTGTTTTGCACTCACTTTCTTGGGTCTCTAAGAAGCCACAGTGGAGATAGTATTACCCCTACCCTATAAAGGAAGAAATCAAAACTGCAAAGCTAAGGGACCTATTTGCCTAAGCTCATCTGAGTAAGAAGGGAGCCCCCCATTAATCTGACACCATACCCCGGAGAGATGCCAAATTCCTCAACAGTGTGCAAGGTACCATTTATTAATTCAATATAGTAAAGTAGCATGATTAACTACCAAATGAACCCTGAGGTGTAATGGGTTAAGCATCAGTCTGTTAGTAATGGGTTAAGCATCAGTCTGTTAACCACAAGGTCATTGGTTCAAACCCAACAGCTGCTCCGTGGGAGACAGATGAGGCAGACAGCTTCCATAAAGATTTATAGCCTCAGAAACCCTTGGGACAGTTGTACTCAATACTATAGGATTGCTATGAGTCCAATTAACTTATCAGCAGTAGGTAGCTATTACTGTAATCTGATTTATCCTTATCTATCTAAACAGGAATTCCACTCCTCCTCAGCATGAATATGCCCTTATAATCAATGTGATACAGTGATTAACCGCCCTCTCATATTTGATTTTGAGTCTCATAGACCTTCTGTCAAAACTTACTGTCATCGAATCACCCCCAATTCACAGCAACCCTGTAGTGGCTTAAAAGAACTTCTCTCAGAATTGTTGGAATAGACATCATAGCACTTGTTTGATGGGCTTCAAACAAAAATTAATGGGAAATTAGTTCAGTTGTAGAGTAAAATTTCTTAATAGAGTTCTTTTACTCAAGTCTCAGAAACTCCCACCAAATGATTGAATAGGACTATGGAAATAGGGTGTGTGTAGCATTAATAGAGGGGCTTGATCAGTCTTAATTACCACCCCTCTTGACTATAATGATGAGCCATTTTTGAAGCAGAAGCAGAGAAAAGAGAAACCTCAAGGACTTTGAAAGAACATGCTCAAGATCTCTGTCTTAAGTAGTGGAGGCTGCCAAGACCAGATACACATTATGCAGGGGTCCTCAAACTACAGCCCGCAGGCCACATGTGGCCCACTGAGGACATTTATCTGGCCGGTTTTTCCCCCTTTTGTTTTTTTACTTCAATATAAGATATATGCAGTGTGCATCGGAATTTGTTCATAGTTGGGTTTTTTTTTAACTATAGTCCGGCCCTCCAACGGGTCTGAGGGACAGTGAACTGGCCCCCTGTTTAAAAACTTTGAGGACCCCTGGATTATGGCATGGAGACTCAGAGGAGCAGCACAGAGACTCTGGGGTACCTTCTCCCTATGTGGCTCCAGACTTTGGAACTGTGGGGCAGAGGGACAAGTGGGCTGCCATCCTGGCCCATGGACACAAAAGCAAAGCAAAGGGACCACATGGCTGAGAGGCTGAGAAATGGAGAGAGACTAGGCTGCTGACTGAGGAGACTAATGACTATATCCTTACTGTTTGATGATCCTGACTTGTAGCAATCTATTACATTCCCTAATAAATCCCCATGATTGTGAATACTGTCTGTGAGTTCTCTGTGGTCATTGAAGCTAGTATAGATGTAGAGTGGCGTGAGTGACAGTTGGTGTCAGGGTAGGTAAAGGAGGATGGACCATGAAGGCTGGTCTGACCCCTGCCTCATATCAATAGGTAGACAATAGGGGAGGTCAGATATAGGTCTTCATTGTTACTTATTGCAAGCACATTATTACAAAGGCATCAACAACATCAATAATAATCTAAGAGTTGTCATCCATCACTTTCTCATATCTTCTACCTCTACACTCCATTTATTTCTAGGTCCTCTATTAAAAAAAACAAAAAAACAAAACCCACTGTCATAGAGTCAATTTTGACTTAGAGGATAGAATAGAAATTCCCTTTTGGGGGTCAGGGATAATAGGTAGTACAGAGTCGAGCTACTAGCCTCAAGGTCTGTGGTTCAAACCCTCTAGCTGCTCTGTAGGAAAAAGATGAGGCTGCCTTCTCTCATAAAGATCTACAGCGTCAGCAACCCTCCGAAGCAGTTCTACTCTATTCTATAGAGTCACTGTGAGCTGTGAGCCCTACAGGATGGGATGGTAGTGGATGGGGGTGGGTTTAGGTTTGGATAGGTGCAGATTAAAGAAAATCCATTTTCTTGGGTGGAGGAGAGCCTTGGGGGATTTAAACCAACGATGACAGGCAGGATCTAAGTCACATTTTGAAAAGATCTGGCTGCTTGTATAACAAATGAATTAACAAGACATGGACTAAGGTGGTAGTAGTAAAAATGGAGAGAAGACCACACGTCCAGGAAATGTTTTGGAGACACAGGGTTGTTTTTTGTCTGTGGAATTTCTTTCTTTCAGTTTTGGTGTTTTGCTTTGCTTTGCTGTGTTTTGAATGCATGGCATGCCCTACATTCATAAATTCAGTGTTTGGTTTTATTACCCTCAAAAATTTAACTTCCCCACCGATCACCATCACCAAACACACTTCTAAAAAAATAAGATACCATACATAGGTCACCATTTAGGGAAGAACTGAGAAAAATTTTTGTTTTAAATTAAAAAAAAAGAAAATTATATCATCATGTCAAGTGCTACACTATGCTGAATCTCCTAAAACAGACCCATGAGCATGAATGGTTAAGCCCTAGATTGTTAGCCAAAAAGTTGGCAGTTCAACACCCCCCCCAAGAGCGACCTGCAATCAACTTCTAAAACAGACCCAACCTTTCAATCTCAAGGAGTGGAGATGAAAACACAAAAATAAAAACCCTCAACTCAGGGAAAAAAACAAAACACACTGGCTACCCAGACAAAGGAACACAAATCTTTTTAAACTCTTTTCTACCGTATCAGCCAAAGTTTATCCTTTACAAAGGCCTGGGTGGTCGGTCATTCATTATACCCCTTAGAAATGCTACCAACACAAAAACCCACTGCCATCAAGTCAATTCTGACTCGGCGACCCAAAAGGATAGAGTAGAACTGCCCCTTTGAGTTTCCGAGGCTGTAAATCTTTACTGAAGCAGGCATCTTCATTGCTCTTCTGCGCAGCAGATGGTGGGTTTGAACCTCTGACCTTGTAGTTCGCACTCAGCGCAGCATTTACCCTACAGCACCACGTGGGCTCCACTCGCTGCCATTGAGTCGATACCGACTCGCAATGACCCTATGAACTGCCCCTTAGAGTTTCCAAGACTGAGCTCTTTCCGGAAGTAGAAAGCCCGGTCTTTCTTCGGCAGAGCGTCTGGTGGTTTCAAACTGCAGGCCTTGCAGTTAGCAGCCCGACGTGTAACCACCACACCACCAGGGCTCCACTACCAACACAAAATTGGGCTACAGTTAAGGGGCAACCACCACCGTTCCAAACATAGAGATTTAAATACAATAAAAACGGATGCTGCGCCACTTCTTGACCATGCATTCCATCCCAGCGACAATTTATTCCTGAAAGGCTGTAACAATTATCTTGTCTTACTCCTTCCACGGAATCGCCCAGCCTGGGACTCCACCTGCCTCCCCAAGTCTGGATTCCGCAGGAACGGATGCCAGAGACAAGAAATGGCTTGTTCTTGCTTTCAGCAGTTTGGGGGGAATTTTTCTTTTTCTTTTTGGTTTTGTTTTTGCTGTCTTTCTGCCCCCCTCCCTCTCGGCGCTGCTGACAACATTGAGAAATCTGGCCGCCTTCTGCTAAGTTTTATGGCCTTTCACGAATTGCTTCCTCTTCAGAATCTGACAACTGCAACAGAAAATCTTCCGCTCCTTTTTGGGAGGTCTCATTTTAAGAAGGGGGCAGGGGCGGGGGTGGGGAGAGCAGGTCAAGTCCTAAAATTGGGCAAATTGGTACCCGACTTGGCCATGTCCTCATCCCCCTTATTTCACCCGAATCCTTTTTGAAAAGGGGCTGGAGCTCACTATGCACCCCGACGGGAGCGCGTTGTGCCACCTACCTCTCAGCTTTCGGTCCCTCTGCAGTCCCCCCCCCGGTTCGTCCGCATCTTATTTTTATCTCCTTCCAGGCGGCGTCAATAACAACCGCTGCGTCACGGTTTTGTGAGTGTTGGGCAGCATGGGCCATCACCTAGGGGACAGGGCCGGTAGTCAGGGTCCGGGTCCTAAAGGAAAGGGCTGGCCCCGGAGATCTCTAACGTGGGATGATGCTCGAAATGCTTCATCTCGAAATTATTCCATTGTTAGTATCATCCAGGAAAACAGATGCCTAGTCTGTTTGCAAGTCAGTTCGAGGAGCGCTGGCCACTTCTCAGGGGGTTTCTGCGACCAGCCCTCTTGGGTACCAGTTCTCTGAGAAGCACGGGCAAGGGAGGGACCCAGAATCCAGAAAAAAGGGAAAAAAAGAGCCCAACAACTTTGTTTCCGAACATTCCCTGACCTTGGACGATACCTAGCCAGCACTAGGACGGCTTCAGCCTCCCTTACACTGGGCGTCCGTTCTTAGGCCGCCAAAGGCTATCTGGTGCGAGGAGACGGCCTTCAATTGCCTTGGGCCTGTCCTATTGGGGTCCCAACTCTCCTTTCAGGGTGTTTTGACGAGGGCTGGGAGGACAGACCGACACTTCCTCTCCACGCCCTTCCCGGCACCTGACCCAGACTAGCCATGTTGGTTGCCTCGTCTGCGCTCCAGGCCCTCGAGACAGCCTCCCGCCCAAAGCTCTCCTTCGCCTCTGATTGGCTCCCCGCGGCAGCCTCGGCCAATGGGGAGGACGCACTCCGCTGACGTAGGCCGCAAGGCTAATGGGAGGAGGAAAGACGTCGGGATCCGCGACGCTCGCTACACCAGCCGGGGCCGCTGCGCGTGGCCTGTGGTGGGGACCCCGGCCTTGGGCTCCGGCAGTCACGGTTACCTGTGCATGTGGAGCCTGGGGCAGGAGGCGCTGGCTGGGGCGGGACTGCAAACCCCGGCTGCCCCGGAGGTGGCAGCGAGGGCGGAACCGTGAATGCGAGCGCATCATCCACGCTCCATTCCCAGAAACCTTCGCGCCGAGAAGTCTCTTAAAAGGAGTTGAAGCCTCGGCGGGGGGCCCCAGAACGGATCGAGGACCCGGCTTTGCAAGGCCCACCGGAAGCCCTGCTTTCACCGGAACCCCCTTTCCAGTAGCTCTGGAGCGTGAAGGGGAGCGCCGGGGCTGGCGGCCCACCTGTGCTGTGTTGCTCTGCCGCCACGCGAGAAAGAAAACAAGGCCAGCTGACGAGGACTCTTAGCACGGAGAGCCTGACCGGAGCAAAACAGCGATTCCAGGTGGGGTGGGGAGGTGAAGCCAGGTGTGGAGGGACCGTGGGGGGTGGCCCAGAAAATCCTCCCAGGGGGCAAAGTCTGGGTCTTTGAAATAGTTGCCATCGCCCACCCATCCCCACCCCCTTGGGCCACCCCCACTCCCCATCTCCCCACCCCAGCCCCACCCACTCCATCTCTGATCAGAATCAAATCTCCCCTTCTTTAATTCACCTTTCCACGCTTTTCTTACCTGATAGCCTTGACCTGAGTTATTCGGACTCTCGGGACCACCTGACAGAAAACTGCATGCCAGGAAAAGCCACCATCTGTGCGGTGAGTTGGGGGCCTTTCCCTGGATATGGGTGGAAATTACTAAGCTTGGAGTCAGGATAAGCAGTTTGCTTTGGGAAGGGTAGAGTGCTCAACGAGCCTTGGACCTATTATTAAGCAGCCTGACAAACCCAGGGGTCAGAATCCTTTGCCAGGTTCCAGTGTTAGACAGGGACCTTTGGGCAAGACATCTGAGCCCAGAGTAACCTAGGTCCTTGTCCATGGTTCTCTAGAGACTTTCCCACGTAGTCCCGCAGCATCTCTTCTTTATTGTGCACCCTCTGTTAGTGTGATAGCGTGAGTTCAGAAGAGAGGGGTGTGGTACTTTCTAGAGCTAACTTCATACTCAATATTGGTGAGATTGTTTTGGGGTTTTTTTACGTGTTAGGTAATGATACCCATGAACTTGGAAAAGGATGCTCAGGTAGACTATGAGTAGCCAGCACGGCAGGAGTTGAGTTTCAGTTGGTATGTGAATGAGAATAATAATGATGGCAGCCATTTTGGGGGTGATAGCTATTATGGACCAAATATGCACAGTGCTAAGAAGTTAATTTTGAAAGCATTGTGTCGTTTAACCTTTAAAACAACATTGTAAGGGCTTATTATTAGCATTACAAGTATATTATTCTCATTCCTCTACTGTTATCATCCCCAGAAAGGGGAAAAGTGAGATTCAGATAAGTCATTTGCCTTGAATCCTATAGCTCGCTAATGAATAGCAGAGCCAAGATTCAAACTTTGGCTCACCTCTAGGCTCCCACATGTCACTGCTGTAATGATGATTTACTTTCTCATGATACCGTTGGCACAGCTTCTGGCCTGATAGTTCCTCAACTTATGATCTCTCACTTCCAATATTTCCCTGTCCTTTCCAAAGGGGAAAAAAAGCCAATTAGGTATAATCATGCCTCTGAAATGTCTGTTATTTCACCCACAGGAATCTGATCTGTGAAAACCTTGAAGGTTTGTTACAAGATTGCCAACATGTGTTCTCCAGACAACTCCAAAATCCTGTACCGGAACCCTCGGTTCCTCCAATTTGCTTTTTTGCAACTTCGGCACCAGCAGCAGAATGGTGTGTTCTGTGATGTCCTTCTGCAGGCAGAAGGTAAGAGACTGGTGGGGTCTTAACCGGAAATCCACTATAGAATAAAAGACGTTAGGGCTAGAGGGTAGGGGACAAAAGCAGGAAAATGCAGTACTATTGTCTAAGCTACTTAGAAAGGAGTAATTTCTGGGGCAGTTCCTGTTTGTTTTTTTAAGAGTAAAAATGGACTAGTCTTTTTCTCTTAAAAAAAAACCCAAAACTCATTTTAAAGCTTTGTCAACACAGATAATAATATAATGGAATGATTGTGAAGATTGAGTTGCATGTAAAGCCTATAGACCAATGCTTTGAAATGTACTCAGCACATCTCAGTGTTTGATGATGCTATTTGCATATTATCCCATATTCTTGCCAAGCTGCTGCTTAACTTTTTTTTCTTACCCTTAACTTCGTTATTTTTATTGTTGTTGTTGTTGTTAGAACTAAAAATGTGTAGCTTATTTCCACCCCTTCCCTTCGTACTTTAAATTGTAAATCAGGATGAAGCTGAACCTAGTAAAAGGCCCAAGAGGAGTCACATGACCTGAATCTTAGCTTTGTGGGACAAGTAGCTTGCTTTCTCGGGAGCCGTTTCCTCTTTTCTAAACAAATGTTGTCCAGCCCTCTACAGTTTGTAGAATACATTCAATACAGTTTTCCACTTGATTGCTAGAAGAATTTGTAAATAGTATATGGTTCTCATCCTACCGCACTAAGTGCCTGTTGTGTACCCCAAATTGTACTAGTATAGGTTTGCTGTATCTATAAGCTCTATACATAAATTCTTGCTCTAAGGAGATTATGCTAGGGGAGATACTTAAGCAATCAGCCCATTACTATGCAGTATAATAAATACTTCCTGGCACTTGGTGCCAAGTCAGTTCCAACTCTTAGTGACCCTATAGGTCAGGGTAGAACTGCCCCTGTGGGTTTCCGAGACTATAACTCTACAGGAGTAGAAAGTCTTATCTTTTCCCCTCAGAGTAGCAGGTGTTTTAGAACTGCTCACCTTGCAGTTAGCAGCCCAGCTCGTACTCTGTACGCCACCAGGGCTCCTAAGTCCCTGGTACAGTAGCTGCTGATAGGTCAGTAGTTTGAACTCACCAAATGCTCCGAGGAAGAAACATTTGGCAGTTGGCTTCTGTATAAAAATTCTTGGAAATCCTGTGAGATAGTTCTGGTCTGTCCTATAGAGTCTGCAAACGTTGCAATTTACTTGACAGCAGTGGATTTCTATGGAATAATAAATGATATGATGGGCTAAGA